CACTAAAAATAAAATACCATGCAGGCGAAGAAAAACTGGAACTTAAATACTTGGTGTCATTATCTCCAAGTGGTAAGTTAGGGTTTTTCTTTTGCTTTCCTGTAATTTTCCAAACCTCTACCATGCATTTGCTTTTGTAATCAGAAAAATAATAAATACTGTTTTAAAATCCTGCCTCTAAAATTTAAAACCCACAACAGGGTGTGAAGAGCATTGTCTTAAAGGGTCTGGAGTAGAAATAACAACCAGTCTAGATCACTTGATTTACTAATGACCACACTTTATAGAGTAATACCAGGGAAAAGTGACTCAAATGTGTTCCTCTGCAGTCCCGTTAGCAGCCAATAAACTGTCTACCCTTTGAAATGTCACTTGAGGCTGTAGAAGGTGAGGGGGTCTCAAAGGAAGAATGAATTTCCCAACTATAACAGCCTTTAATAGAGGAGGGCAATGTGAACAGTGGAGCTTAGTACTTGAAAAACAAAGAATTTCACACAAAACTTCCCATTAACCATCATAATAGAAAAATCAGTTGTATTCATATATAGCAGCAATGAGCAACTGGAATTTGAAATGCAAAAGCATACTGGAATCAAATTTAATTCTGAAAGTACCCATAAGTTGGCACCTATAATGGATGTAGGAAGCAACTGAAATTTTAAAACATGACCAAATCAATGTGGATGCAATCTGAAAGAATACTTTCTACCTTTATCACAACAGATTATCAACACAAACACAACAGTCTTTAAAAAACCATAAATGCAGAAGATGGCAAATCAAAATTAAGAACATTTACTGTTAATTTAGACCTTTTGTTCTTCCCGAGTGGAAAAAACTTGATTACTGACTTATAAAATGCAGATAACTTCTTGTATTGATGACCTTTCCCTTCTCTTTGCCTCACTGATAAAAAGCCAGGTAGATAGATACTCCTCACCCTCTGCTTTCTTTTGAAAAATAAGAGAGTTACTGATACAATTTCCTAGGTTTTTGTGTCTGATAGGGTGAAGTGTTGATCTGAGCTCTGTGCTGAGCCCCCTCAGGTCCTCCTTCAAGAATGAAGGACAGAGTGATTTTTCTAGCAGGTAAGGATAATGATGACAGAAGGCTTGGCTGTTAGTCTTCAGAACAGCTTCTGCAAAAAAAGTGCCACTCTGCCCAAGGCCGGTGGTCCCTTCCCTGGGCAGCCTGCTTTCAGAAACTGGTTAATACAGCCCTTATGAAAGTTTAGCCTTCTCACCTCTCTGATGAGACAGGGGACAACTCCGCAGGGTAATTTCAGTTCCAGAGGTCCTTGTGGGGCTGGCTGAAGCCTTAGCAAGTTATATCCCAGTTCAACTTCTCCTTCTACTCATACTCTTTCCCTCCCTCTCAGAGGTGTTGATTCCGGAATATGTGTGTGGCCAGGAGATGTCATTCCTGGCTGGGGGTCCACTTCCCCAAATGAATCTGACATGATGGAAGTCCTAGGAGTACAATCTTTGGTCATCTGGACAAGGTGATGCATACTTGGAATCCCAGTGAGTCTGGAGGCTGAGGCATGAGGATCACAAGTTTGAGGCCACCCTCGGAAACGGAGCCAGGCCCAAGGCAACTTAGCAAGACTCTCTCCAAATAAAAAATAAAAAGGGCCGTGGATGTAGCTCAGTGGTAGAACGTGCCTGGGTTTGATTCCCAGTACAAAAAAACAAAAACAAAAACAAACAAACAAACAAAACCTTGGGCAGACACTGGCCCTATGCCACGCTGAGTCTACCAGACATGGCTATGAACACTATCAAGCAAGCAGTACACAAAAAAGCTGGGCCATCTTCCTCAGAAGAAGTGGATCAAAGAACAAAGAGGACACTTTTGGATTACCAGCAGGGAACATGTTGGAAATTTGGGTGGGGCTTTGGGCGGTGGCAGGAGGCAGGATGGCAGCTGCTTGGCCCACTATTTGGTCTAATCCCCTGAGCTGTCCTAGTCCCTGGTACCGTGATCACACTGTGTTAATTAAATCATTCTCATTAATTCAGCCTGGGTGTAAATTAGGAAGGAATGAAGATAAATTAGGTTTGAAGGCAGCTAATACATTTAACCCCATGCTGCTTATTTTGCAGCCTAACAAAATAACGTTGTTAAAGGAGATAACAAGGCCAAAGCCTTGGGCACAGCTTCCTAATAGCATTAAAAAAATGAGACCTTGGTTTGGTGTCACAAGCAGAGGCAAAGACAGGTTCCCAGGGGCCTATGGACTGGCCTGATATTTTGAGTAAAGTGCTGGCTATTGTACAATACAGAATGGGCTGAATTTCCTGAGTTGTCTGTGACTTAGCTATCTATGACTATTGTCCAGTTTAATTACAGTCCGGTTCAAGCTTTCTTCCTGTACAGGTACAAGACTTACTCACCTTTTCTTCGTGTGAATAGAGTGATAAGAATTATCTTTAGGACTGGCTTGGAGATGCTGTAAAAATTATATTTTGAGTTACTATTGTCATAATTATACTAACTTGAAAATCACTTTTAGCCACAAGATAAACATTAATCCAGTGGCCCAAAGACTCTTCATACATTGGTTCAAGCAAGTTGGTGTACAGTTAGTAGAAGGTCATCAGCAGCACACATGCTTTCCTAAAAACTAAGTTTAGTTCCTATGTCTTTCAGCAGGAAGTTGTTTCCAGTTTTTACAACCTACATTAACTAATGTCTTTATCTTCTGTTGCTAACCTCCCTGAGTCAGATGAAACAAATGTATATGGTCATTGAATACATTTCAGGATTTTCCAGTCTGTAACTCACCCCCCCACTTTCTTGACACATAAATAATAGCAACATTAGGTAGAAAAGACACTGTAAAATGGTTGATGCTTGATGACACAATGGTCAGATATTTCATTCCTCTCTCAGTCATGTCTGCTTAGCAGAAACAGATTACCTGTCTCTAGCGTGGTGGCTTCTGGCGTGATAGTTCCTGGGGCAAAACCCCTAGACAACCTACTGAGCTACATATGTACACCATTTCAAGACAGGATCATCCAGGACAGTTCTGGGTAGATTTGGTAAGTGAATGGAGTAAAAAGGGCGTTATCTCTCCTTAATGAGAAAAAGTGTTAACCTCTTAAAATGTTTCCCTCGCTGGAAGACATTAACACATGGTCTTCAACACCAATATTTGCCTTTGACATACAGTCCAGACAAAGGCCTGATGGAGGTGTCTAGAAGGTACAAGGGAATCTGCCTCTATCGGCTCCACCCATACCTTACCACAAGCTATAAAATACATACAATAGCTACACATTCCCGCCTCCCATCTTTTCAGCACCTATTTCTGGTGTCTACAGTGTTTCTATCTCTTTGGTCTTTGCTGAGTTGGTCTTTGTCTCTTTAAGGAACTAAGCTATATGCCTGCTGGTACTCATCTCTAAACCTCTACTCTGGCAGACCCTCTACACCTGGTTCCCACCTTGAATCAATCACCTTTCTGGCTTTGTCAAGCACCCTTGAGCCAATATTCTGCATTAAAAATTAAAATAGGAAGCAGATTTTTAAAGGCTCTTAGTGAGGCTGATGAGTTAATGCTAACAAAGGACTTCAGAGGGCACTGTCTTTCTTTGTTTGCAAGGAGGGAAATTTCACAGCAAGAATTACCAGGAGGTAAGGAAGATAAGTGGAACTAGAAAAAAAGAACTAGGAGTCTTGGTTTCAGCAGTTTGTGGTCTCTGGAAGCGCTGTTTGGAGCCTCCTTAGCCCGTTTAAACCATTTCTGAGCTTAGAATCTTAAAGAAAACTGGGGACAAAGACTGGGGGTTGATGGAAGGACAGAGTAAACTCACTGGAACCGCAGGGCTGGGCTACTGCTGAGTGGTTGAATGACCTGGAGCCAGGTAATTCACATTTCCCGGACAACAGGTGATAAACTTTATCCCAAATACCGAATAAAAATCAAACAAACTAAGTTTTAGCTCCCAGAGGGAAGACAACCACTTAGTACAAAGGTGAGAAATGGGATTCATGAATACAGATCTCCACGCGAGATTATTTTTCGTATATTCTTCCTTTCTGCCTGCCACTGAGGATATTAAATGTGTGCGCGCTGGGCCATTTCTTTAATGACCTCTAAACACCACAATACCATAAACAACAACAAACAAACAAACCATCACCAACAACAAAAAACCCAGGAAGGGCCAGGTCTGAGAGGAAGGGCCAGGTCTGAGAGAGTGATTGAGACTTTATCGCTACGGAGAAAGGCGGCGTGGCCGCTTCTTTTGAGTTCGCTTTGAATCAAGCGGCCGCGGCTATTGGTTGCGAAGCACGTGGTGCGCGCCGGCCGGACAGCACCAGGGCTGCTGCTGCCGGGTATCGAGCAGAGTCCGGCCGAGGGCTCCACCCGTCGGGAACGGGGAGGGAGAACGCAGGGAAACTCCTCAATCTCCAGTCTAGCTGGCTCCTTGCCAGCGAGAAACCCTACGTTCCGTCTTGTCCTACCTGTCGTGTCCCCAGTGTCCCGATTTGTGCCCCTTCCCTTGCCACTGACCGCTCCTCGGGTGTCTATCCCAGCGCACTGACTATGCGCCCCCAGATCGCGTGCTGTGGACACCCAGCTCACCCCTGGCCACCCTTTCTTGAACAACTCGTGGGCTCCGGAGCCACGGAGACCACAGCCCCGGGCGGCGCTCTGCTACCTTGGGTCCCTCCCTCAGCTCCGGGGCTATTCATAAATTAGGCTGGCCTAGAGAGGCGCAGACACTTCAACCCGGGAAAACTTATTTTACTCTCGGTCCCTAAGGGTTGCAGCTGCCAGTGGCTGAGATCGTCTGCCCGCTTTGTCTCACTGCACTCTCAGCACCCCTCCCCCGCTTCCTCCACCGATTAACTCCCCCTACGCGCTCTTCACCAGCTCCTCTCCTCCTCCTTCTCAACGTCCTCCCTCTACTTCTGGGGCCGCGTTCTTCCTCCCTCCCTCCCTTGGTGTCAGTCTCTTTGCATACGCGCCCCCTCCCCTCCCCTCCCCGCTGCGCCTCTTATAGCCCGGCGCGCGGCTCCGGGGCGCAGACTGCTCCGGCAGCCAGAGTAGAGGTGGCGTGGCTGTGGCGCTGTGGAGACCGGGTCCAGACGCCAGGCGGCCGCCGGCGCTCACAGCGCTTCCTAGCTCCCTCCCCCAGAGTCCACAGCCCGCCTTCTTCTGCGGCAGGCGCCGCAGGCTCGCTCTCCCCTCTCGAGACGCGTTCGGGGAGACGCTCTGCGGATCCCGCGCGCACGGTCCACGGCTAGGAGACCGTGAGACCGAGGCGAACCGCCAGCGGTTAGCCGGCCCTGAGCCTGTGCTCCAGGCGCGGTCCCCTCTCTCGCCGGCGCCCCATGCGCCCTTCTTTCACTCGGGCTGTCGCCACTGCTTCCCGGGACTGAGTCGCCCGCTTCGTCGTCTCCACCCGTGAGACCGAGGCAAGAACCCAGCCAGTTGTTTGCGGAGGCCAGTCACCACTGCTGTAAGTTTTCCCCACTGTCCCGAACCTGTTGCTAGCGGGTGGGTTTCAGTGGCCGCTGGGGTTGCGGGGGTGCGTTCCCAAGGGTGAGCGTGCGTCGGGCCGCCCTGAGTTCCCATTTAGGCTGGTGAGAAGCTGTTCCCCGGGTGGAGAACTGGGTGTCCGTCCCTGTCCTAGCACTGGAAGCGGGAGCTGGACTTAACTGGAAAGCCGACCCGCCTGCCCTCCGCCGCGCAATGCCCGGGCAAGCCGCGGGAGGAGCCGGGGCCGGATGTTACCAGCCTGGCTCCCTGCAGCGTTCAGGGTTCAGCGCCTGGGGTCGTTGGCCCACGTTGCATGCTACCGGCTCTCCGGAGAATTGGGGCCACGCTCAGACACTCCTGCGGGCACTTCATTGCGGCCAAACGTCTATGGGAAATGAATGAAAACTGGTTTCTGAAAATCTATCATGCAAGCTTTTGGCTTCCAGTGTAACATTATTTTCAAAGGATAGGAATTGGTGGGCTGGGTGGAGATGAAACATTGAGCTTGTTCGACACATGCTATGTGGTGTCATCCTCACCGGCATGGCCAGCGTGTTAAATAGAGTTGTAACTGCTATAGGGGATTATATGGTAAAACATATATTTTTGTTAAAATGGAACATCACGAAATCTTTTGTTATCAATAATGTGAATTCTTGAGAACATCTGCCTATTTCTGCTTTGATAGGTTTGAGATCAGTTTTAAACCTGGAGAGACGTTAGAGGGGCTGAATATTAGATGTAGAGCTCCTGTGTGAGCATAGAGTGAAGTGAAGTTATTGTAACTGGAAGCCCTTTTGATGTTCACAGTAATAGCAGCCCTTTTCTCTGTCTTCTTTGTAGATGCAGGTTAAGTATATGTGTGCATTTTCTTGGCCACTTCTTTGGCATGCAAATATTATGTCTCTGGGGGCTTAAAAAGTGCCAGAAGAATGATTCATTTCATGTTGAAGGTGTGTTTAGTGACTGTATAAATGATTTCCCCTGATATTTTGATGTTTGAATAATTCTAAACCAGAAAGCAAATGGTTTCTCTTGGGTCTTCAAGTGTACCTTTTATTTCAATCATACATTGCTGCAAGAATGTTAGATTTTGACAGTGACATGTTTTTTCAATTGGATGGTATCCAAGATGACAGGGTAGTTTCTTCCTCCTGGCTTATAGAGCAGCCTAATAAACACAGGATGCAAAGAGATGCCCATCCTGTATCCTAAAGTCTTCTAGACAAACTGTTTTCTTAAATGTACACCTGGTTCTGAAATGTTTTACACCACACCAATTTCATGTTCAGGGCCCAGCAGGATTCCCAACTCAAGTGTCCAAAGCATTTAAATGCTTGTGGACCTGCTTACAGGGAGTCTGGAAGCAGCTTCATAGGAATGTTTAGACAATCTTTTGAAGTTTGGGTTCAGACATATCTGAATACTTCAGAATCCTGGGACATTCACAGAGGATCTATTGGTCATTCTCCAGAGCCCTGAGCATTCCTAAAAATGGACTAGAAGGTAGAGGCTTAGCTGGAGTTTGGAGTGATGCTTGGCTGCTCTCCATTTTTCATATCCCTAGTCATTTCTTGATGTTTTTCAAAGTCTTCCTAACATCGGAGTTCTAGGACTTTGTTACTTTCTTCCACTAAGCCATGTTTACTCATAATGAAAGGTAACATTCCAAATATTACTGCAAACAAGTTACATCACCTAATAATATGTGGTCTGAGTGTCAAAGCCATAGGGCACCTGCCTTTGTTGTTTTTCTGTGCTGTCTCGCACCTGGCCGTGGAAGAGCAGTTTAGTATTTTTGTCCGTGGATCTGGTAAATCATTCATTCATGTGTATCTGTTAACAATTCCTGGAATATAAATTTAAAAAAATAAATATCTGAATGGTTGAAGGAAAAACAGACTGCTTCAGCTGTGCTGTAAGGACTGGCTGTTCTGCTTGGAAGAGATACTGTAACTAACCTCACAGTTTACCCTCTGGGTATAAACAACTTCCTCAGGAATCCTTGGACAGGCAGGTTCTTAAAGGGCTTTATTCCTTTGAAGTAATAGAAGGGTAATATAAAAAGCACAAGGGTGGGGGAGTTCAGTTTTCAAAGATGGATAATAGGAATTTAACATAACTTTACCCAACACTTCCCATATGGCAGAAAGTCAAAAGATAGCATTAGATTCTGTATTAATTTAAATAGATACCTCGGAAAGCACTTTAGTTAGTAAATAAATTTTAGGGTGGCCCTAAATGAATGAGAGCTGGCAAAATACATATCCACTTAATGGTGTATGTGCCTGCGCGTGCACATGTGCGCTCGTGCCCACACACAGGAACCTGTGTATTTTTATTTAAATTTAAATAAATAGTACATGCATTTTGAACTCCCTATATGCAGGTGCCAGCAATTGCAGGTACATAAGAACAGTCCTGGTGAGGTACTGTTTAATCACAAGAGGAGGTAGATGCCTCCTTTGTTCTTGTGACTGGTTTTCCAAGAGTTGGTACAGAGTAGTAGGAAGAACCAAAAAAAAAAAAAAAAAGCATGAGTATATGCTCCTTTATAATTCTTCCTTTTTTTGGTGCCAAATCCTCCTTTTGAAAACTGTCTAGAGCATAAAAGATGGGTGATGATTGTGGCCAGAATCTATTCTGTGCTTTCAGTAAAGCTTTTGATCAATATATGGTTGTGTATGTTGGTATATTTAGAACCTCTGTAGCAGTAGAACTGTCTGGCTAGAAATATATTATTGTTTATTTATTTTTATAGTACTAGGATTCGAACCCAGGGCCGTGTTAGGCAAGTGCTCTACCATTGAGCTACATGCCCAGCATCTGTTAACATTTAAATTGTAGAAGTTGGGCATTTACTGTATATGCAGAGTTTGGATCTTACCAAAGGAATTCTTAATGGAATTAATTAGTAGGTTTTTTTTTTTTTAAACACATGGTTTTATGTTGCATAGGGCATTACAGCTGGTGCCTGTCCTGGCTTTACGAGAGCAGGAGGCTTGGCATTTTAAGTGGCCTTCAGTGAATCAGCTGGACTGGCACAGGAGCTGAGAATGAGACCTGCTCCCCTTGGCTTTGCTGACTTACATTCTCAAGGACTTCAATATCCTCGAAGTTGGCAATCAGGTTTTCCAAGATGAACCTGCTTGTAGGCAGTGAACTTTTTTTTTTTTTTAAACAGTGTATAGTTTAAACAGCTCAATAGGATGACAGTGAATTCCTTTCCTTTCCTTCCAGGTAGTTGTCTCTGGCTTTGTTTTGGAATGGCTATACCTTTATTCAGAATGGCAGCAGGGTTAACAACAAAGTGTTGTTTTCTTTGTCCAAAACAATTGTTGCTTTTGGTCTGCTGCTGGGAACATCAGGAACATGTTGTTCAATAATTTTGTTTTTGTTTTGTTTTGTTTTTAGGAGTGGAAACAAAATGTCAGTCAGCGTTCATGAGAACCGCAAGTCCAGGGCCAGCAGCGGCTCCATTAACATCTATCTGTTTCATAAGTCTTCCTATGCTGACAGTGTCCTCACTCACCTGAACCTTTTACGTCAGCAGCGTCTCTTTACCGATGTCCTTCTCCATGCAGGAAACAGGACTTTTCCTTGTCACCGGGCAGTGCTGGCTGCGTGTAGCCGCTACTTTGAGGCCATGTTCAGTGGTGGCCTGAAAGAGAGCCAGGATAGTGAGGTCAACTTTGACAATTCCATCCACCCTGAAGTCTTGGAGCTGCTTCTTGATTATGCATACTCCTCCCGGGTGATCATCAATGAAGAAAATGCAGAATCGCTCCTGGAAGCTGGTGATATGCTGGAGTTTCAAGATATCCGGGATGCATGTGCTGAATTCCTGGAAAAGAACCTGCATCCCACCAACTGCCTGGGCATGCTGCTGCTGTCCGATGCGCACCAGTGCACCAAGCTGTATGAACTATCCTGGAGAATGTGTCTCAGCAACTTCCAGACCATCAGGAAGAATGAAGATTTCCTTCAGCTGCCCCAGGACATGGTAGTACAGCTCTTGTCCAGCGAAGAGCTCGAGACTGAAGATGAAAGGCTCGTATATGAGTCTGCAATTAACTGGATCAGTTACGACCTGAAAAAGCGCTATTGCTACCTCCCAGAGCTGTTGCAGACGGTGAGGCTGGCACTCCTGCCAGCTATCTACCTCATGGAGAACGTAGCCATGGAAGAACTCATCACCAAGCAGAGGAAGAGTAAGGAGATCGTGGAAGAGGCCATCAGGTGCAAACTGAAAATCCTGCAGAATGATGGCGTGGTGACCAGCCTCTGTGCCCGGCCTCGGAAAACTGGCCATGCCCTCTTCCTCCTGGGAGGACAGACTTTCATGTGTGACAAGCTGTATCTGGTAGATCAGAAGGCCAAACAAATCATTCCCAAGGCCGACATTCCCAGCCCTAGAAAAGAGTTCAGTGCATGTGCGATTGGCTGCAAAGTGTACATTACTGGAGGGCGGGGGTCTGAAAATGGTGTCTCAAAAGATGTCTGGGTTTATGATACCCTGCATGAGGAGTGGTCCAAAGCTGCCCCCATGCTGGTGGCCAGGTTTGGCCATGGCTCTGCTGAACTGAAGCACTGCCTGTATGTGGTTGGGGGGCACACGGCTGCAACTGGCTGCCTCCCAGCCTCCCCCTCAGTCTCTCTAAAGCAAGTCGAACACTATGACCCCACAACCAACAAATGGACCATGGTAGCACCACTTCGAGAAGGCGTTAGCAATGCCGCCGTAGTGAGTGCCAAGCTCAAATTGTTTGCTTTCGGAGGTACCAGCGTCAGTCATGACAAGCTCCCCAAGGTTCAGTGTTATGATCAGTGTGAAAATAGGTGGACGGTACCGGCCACCTGTCCCCAGCCCTGGCGTTACACAGCAGCAGCTGTGCTGGGGAACCAGATTTTTATTATGGGGGGAGATACAGAGTTCTCTGCCTGCTCTGCTTATAAATTCAATAGTGAAACTTACCAGTGGACCAAGGTGGGAGACGTGACGGCAAAGCGCATGAGCTGCCATGCTGTGGCCTCCGGAAACAAACTCTATGTGGTTGGAGGATACTTTGGCATTCAGCGATGCAAGACTTTGGACTGTTACGATCCAACTTTAGACGTGTGGAACAGTATAACCACAGTCCCATACTCACTGATTCCTACTGCTTTTGTCAGCACCTGGAAACATCTGCCTTCTTAAACATCCTAAATAAGCATGAGGTAAGACAAAAGTTCAGCTGGAGATGTGTGCATTTAATTAGGGTTAGTTGTCTAAGTTCAGAGTATGGAGTCAGACACAATCCATGTAACCTATATTGAAGTACTATAGAAACTATTAAAATGAAAGATTTTGCACCTCCAGAACTTAAACACCTGTGTTGATCACAGCCTTGACTCCCTATAACATAAGTCAGTGGTTCTCAGCCTTCGCTGAGCCTGCGAATCTTCTAAAGAGCTTTTCACAAACTGTGGGTCCCAGAAACATTGTTTCTTCTGGTCTGGGGTGAGACCTAGGCATCAGTGTTTTTAGAAAGTTTTCTCCTTTGCTAATATTCCACCAGGTTGGGAACACTTGACCTCTGTTAATAATGCCAGCTAGTGTTTATTGAGGCCTTGCTTTATGCTGTGTGTTTCAAATGAATCATCCCATTTGATCCCACAGCAACCCTATGGGATATTATTACTAGCCTCATGTCTAGAGGAAAAAACCTGATTCCTGCAGAAGCTAAGTAAGTTGCCCAAAGTCTAATAAGTGGAAGCGTTGGTCAAGAATTAATCCAGGGCCTGGAGCTGTAGCTCAGTGCTTGAGCGCTTGCCTCACATGTGTGAAGCACTGGGTTTGATCCTCAGCACCACATAAAAATAAATAAATAAAGATATTGTATCCATCTACAACTAAAAAAAAATGTTAAAAAAAGAAAAAAGAAATTAACCCAGGCAGTCTGACTTCAGAGCACGTGTTTGTATATTATGACAAACTGCCATTTAATAAACCTGAGCTTCACGTTAGTGTCATCCCAGAAGATACTTGGTTGATATTCAAATTCCACTCCCTCAAACCCATTCTGGACTGAATAGGGTTAAAGAAAATGCATTTCTCAAATTTGTTCCTTGTTTATTCTCTCCAGAATTATTTATTGGCATATTTAAAACTTTTCCTCAAAGTATAGCCCCACCTTGAGGGTATGTATTAACTTCATAAGGGAATCTAGGTTTGTCCTTGTGAAAGGTTGGTTGCACCTACATTGTACAATTATGTTTGATGTGCAGATACACCCAGCTACCTAAACTGCCCCTAACTATATCTTTTCAGAGTTAATCAGTCAGGCTGACCCTATTGTTGAGGCTAACAAAAGTTTTGTTCTGTGTCATATATCTGAGTACATAATGGTTGTCTTGTGTACTTAAGAGTATATTATTCTCTTGGCTCCCATAATTAATAGGCCCACACAGCTCAATGTTCGAAAAGCTCATGGTTGCTCTGCAGCTAAGCATTCTTAGGGTTGGCCCCAGGAATGGCTTATGCACAAAGCACACAGAACTTGTTGATTTGTTTTGGTGATTCATGGGCTTATTACTAATAACAAGAGGGAAAGATAACCGATTTGGAGAAACTACAAGGAAAATGTAACTCATTACTTTGCAGTTTTGGGCTCTGTTTTCTCTAGCATGTTCATGTAGCATGGGGAAAAAAGGGAATCTAACGGTAGTTGTAAGCTAAACAAGGAGGGGTTTCATCTTGTTTTTTTTTTTTTTTCTTTCCCCATTTCTTACAGCTCACTTACAAACACCATTAAAATTGGCCTCACTTTCACATTTTATCTTTCTATTTTTTTCCCCCAATTCTTCAGTTATCTCCTCCAGCCTGTTACAGTTAACAGGGCTCCTGGTAATGCCTTGTTTCTCTGAAATGAAAGTCTTTGAAAGGAGCAGGAACAATCAGAAAGCTCCTCTGGGCAGCACTGGGGCTAATGGCATCCCATACCAAACTGGTTTTTGTAGCCTTGCTGGCATCTCAGTAATCCTGAACAAACAAATGCTTTGCAAGAGGTTATTTCATTTGAGATATGAATGCATGACTCAACCCTCAAGCAGGTTTAAAGAACCTCCTAGGCAAAAGCATCAATTAACAGCACTAAACTAGGTGTTAGTCCAGAACTGGCTGTATTTGTACAAAATTCCCTGTTGTTGTGGAGGTAATTGGTGGACTGGCTAGCATCCTTAGAGCAAGGTATGGAAACTGAGGCAGAAAGAAAGACCACATGTGGTTCTAGTCCTAATTTTAAGTTCTAGATCTTTGTGGACTTAAGATTGCTTCTCTGTCAAATCAGTGGTTTGAGACTATAATTCCCTAAGACCTGTCCCGGTTCAAACTTGGATGAATTGACAACAGGGATACCTAGGTCAGTGCCTGGCAGATATTAAGTGTTCTGTACTCTTAGTTTTCTTTTTTCTCTTCAATTTAGACCTTGCTCTGTGACCCAGCAGTGGAGTCAGCTCCGTGTGTGTGTGTGTGTGTGTGTGTGTGTGTGTGTGTGTGTGTGTGTGTTGGGAAAATCAGGTTTCTTTGACTGTTATCTGTTTCTGATCTTTATTCTTCATATTTGGTTCCTCCTTTTTCAGCCCAGAGTGAATATGTTGGCAAACATTTGAACTCAGCCTGTCCTGGGTATCTAAACTTAAGCACATGCTTCCGGGCCCTGGAAAACAGAACAAATAAAATGCAGGGTTATACGTGAAACAACATCCTCTTCACCCTTGGTGCCACCAGTGAGACAAGCACATAAAAACTGAATTTGACAGGGCCAGGTTTGCTGCTTTTACAAGGTGTCAGAAGTGCCTGATCAAAGCCACTCTTTCAGTTTCCGACAGGGAGAATGTAGACTTAAATTTCTAAATTTATTACACACAAGATAGTGTTAAAATGTTTTAGCTGGATGGAGTGATTTGAAGGAGTGCTCAGTAGGTATCCTCGGAAACTGCTGAAGCCCTCATCCCTCTGCTCTCCAAATGTAGGTGCTAAGTGAATTAATCCAGTGTTAACAAAAACCTTCCCTAGACTAAAAGCTCATCCACCAAGGAGGTTTTAACTGTCTCCTGCTGTTTTGTCAGTGGGTGGGAGGGACAAAAAGGAAATTACTTTGATTATCCTCTATTTTCATGGTGCCTCCTGGCCCCAACCTGACAGCACTTGAACTTCCATTTGCTTTGTTTCTTCTCTCTTAGATTTTCATGGAGGATGGGCTGGGTATTGTGTGTTGGGGGGGGGGGACTTTTTCTATTTTTCTGTGCTAGTATTCAATGTCTTGAAATTTTATATTATTACAAGATACATTCTTTTGGTTTAATGTGGATACACAGGTTAAAAGAAGGTGGGGGGAGGGGTATGACACTGTAGTCTAAGGAATGCCTTGAAGGCTTGGATCACTGTTAGGAAACAGCCAAAAGAAACAACTATCAGATGAATCAGACTTCTGAACACACAAAAGCAAAGCGAGGAGGATTTAATGCAGTTAATGAGCAGTCCCTCCAGAATTCCCTTTGTCTGTACTTAAGAGTTATAGTAATAGGAATACAGATTCCTAAACTAGTCTGGAAGTGTGCTTTATGAACAGATAGAGTGAGTCTTTTAGAAAGCCCTTTGCAAAACTTAAAACTTCCCTGTATGAAATAAGAATGAAATAAATGGGCAGGGTGAGTAGTGAGAGGAGATGCTAGCTCCTATGAAATATGCAGACTTCATGGTTTTGGTAATTTGAGTTTATATTCATACTTGATGTTGGTGGATTCTCTTCATAATAGAACCCGCATTCTGTGCTTCCATCTTCTGAGTGTAGACTAATGAACTCCAAGAATAAACTCCAGCCTTGGGCTGTGGAGACCTGGTACATTGTCATGTGAAAGGAAGCGAGACTGATGTCTGCCATAATGAATAGTGGGGATGCATTTAAATAAGAGGATTAATATGTCTGTCTTCTATATGGTGAATAAATTTAATTTGGAATCCTTTATGGTAAATGGGCCATGGAGGGTTTGCATAGGAATCTCCTTCTGATACCCAAGTGATCACTTTACAGTGGCTTTTTTTTAATCAGAAATTTTAAGATTATTGGAAACAGGATGGCAATTTAGATATCCAATAGATAGATAGATAGATAGATAGATAGATATCTAAGTTGCCATCCTGTTTCCAATGTCCAATAGATAGATACATATCTATCTATGTATCTCCATCACATCATCTATCTATTAGATACATAGATAGATAATAGCACAGAAGTGAGGGTCCTATATTGGATACTGTCAGGCCAGCCATTTGAGAGTGCATGCATACACACATACACCTCAAGGTAAGTACTTTCTGATATCTTTGCACAGTTCCTACTGAACATACAGTTAAGAAGCAACATTGCCCAGCTGTGTCCCAAGTTTAATTTTAAAAAATTTCATGGCTACTAACAAAAATCATAAAACTATAGCATCACACAGATCTTTCATGCCTTTTTTGTTTTGTTTTCTTTTCCTCCCATTTTAGCTCCCTCCATCACTCAGTGTGACAATAGGAGATTTCTACTTTGGAGCTGCCAAGTTTAATGAAGAGAAAGAACAAAAGGAGGAGAAGTTGCTGTAAGACTCGAATAACATCCACTGCACCTTGTCAATGCTCTAACTGGACATGAAGGAAAGGGGTGAGGGAGGGGGTGGGATTCTCAGTGCAAGTAGCACATGGTTTAAATATGAATGACTGAACCTGTGATCTAGTCCTTGTCCTGTAATTGTGGATTAATGTCAGCGTTAATCAGCCCCTGAAAGGGAGAGAAAAGCTGGACCTTTTCCCTTGCTGTACCACATTCAGCATTTGATTCCATGGGCTCCGCCATTTATGTGTAAAATTTGAAATGGTTGTCACCTCTCTCTGAGGAGTGAGCTTGAAGCCTCCACACCGGCAGCTGTTGGTGATTCAAAGCTTCAGCATGGCCAGGAGGGAAGCTGGCTGAGCTGGCTGAAGAATGAGGACCGGTGCGCTGGACTCTCCGTTAATCTCGAAGGGGTTGTTCCTTCCCCCAGGAACATTTCTGAACAATGGGGACATTGTTGGTAGCTGTTTGGTAGATGTTCTTTTCTATTTATAAGTGACTTTAAACTTTCCCTTGGCTGTTAAGAAGTTTGTTATAGATATAGCTATTTATTGTTTGATGCCTGCATGCTGAAACAATGCTTACAGTTGTCTTCACGTGTATGGATGTGTGAATGGTTGTATGTTTTGCACATTTTGTGGCTGTTGGGATGTGCTTTGCTGCACAAAAATGAAAAACTTTTGAGTTTTGATTTGGAGTATAACTGGAGGGTGGGTGGGGGTGGGCTGGATTTTTAAAATGTTAAGACAGGGAAGGATTATAAGATGGAAACATCCCAGAGGTAGAGAAATCATGGAGGTCACTTTTCTTAGATTCACCACCTTTTTCTGGGGTTTCATGGCGGGGGAGGGGGGGTATGGTTAAGCTGGTGGCTGATGAGATGAAGGAGGAGTCCTTTTTTCTGCCTTTCTCCTTCCCATCTGATTTACCCAACATCAGTCTCAGCTGCTGGAATTTGGAAAGGACCAAATTGTTTTGCAGTTTTTGGTTTTTTTTCTTTGTGTAATATCCTGCAGTCCTGGAAAATTCTATGGAATAGTTCTGTATATAGGGTACAGGTAAAGACATTGTCCAAAGTTTATTTATTTATCTATTTATTACCCTATAAGAATGCTTTGTTGTGTAACCACAGTTAATGGGAACAACCTAAAATGTCACAATGTATATTAATTCACTGACCACATTTGCTTGATCTGGACTCATTGTTCTCTGTTCTTGCTGTAGACTTTAGCAAGTGCTAGAAGTTCTTCAGAAAACATTCACATGGGTACAGTGTACACATTAGTGCCCACCCTTAGGTAAATGTTGAAAAAAACTCTTTGGTATACAAAAGTGACACATTTGGTCACAAAACACCAAAGAATTGTAAGCAGTGGCCCTGTGGAGAGGGTTTCCAGGCTGGTTGGGAATCAGTTGTGAATACCTTCTTTGCTTGTTGGAGTGCTTGTTTACTAAACACGTGCTGTGGTAGCTCTTAGTGCTAGATTTGAGTAGGTGCTTCTTCAGAGGTGTCTGGGGAAGACCAAAGTTTGCAGCTCGGTCTGCTTTGGTCCATGTTTCTCACATTGCTGTATTTTAGAAAATAGGGTTTAAGGCTGATAACAACCTTTTACATTGTGTGTTTGCATTGTCTAATGACAGAAAAATCCTTAACATTTCTCTCCACCTCAGTACTTTAGACTAATTGTACATGTCCGTCCTTGCCATGAATAAGTGGGCTCTAGTTGGACCAAAATAAAATAAATGAGCTGTTGGAATAAAAGAATCACATTACTGTCCAGCAGCTAGTCGTGGTTCCTAGATGTGTTCTAAGCGATGCAAATGTCTAATTGTACTCTGGCGGCATAGTCGGTGTTGATCTGTTGTAGCAGTTACAGCTCTGTAGTTTATGATGCAAATCTGTCCAGAGATGTGTGTGTCACTGCATGACTTCTGAAAGCAGGAAGAATTTTCTGCAGCTGTTTCAAAGTTGGGGCCTGTCCTTGAATCCTCCATTAATTACTGTGTGTGAGCCAGAGGGAGCCACCGTAAGGGTGGGCCCCCAGCCTGCAGGGAACTTTCTGGACTCCTGCTCTTTGAATTGATGTAGGCATTTGTGCTCGCTACTTGACCATTCTCACCCTGTGAAACGTCCCACACTTTGAAGCAAATACAATTCACAGCACAGTACATACAAAAACCTTGGCATAAGACAGAGAAGGTTCTTCTCATTTTGTGAGCTGGTTGCTGTAGAAACGGATAACAAAGGGCAGCCTTCCACTTCTGGTATAATTGTGTAGCCCCTTTTCTCTGGGCTTGACACCTGTCTGAATAAGAGTGATTAGAGCTGCATAATATCCCTCTCTTGGCTATTGAATATGTGGTTCACGTACAGAACTCTGTATAAGTTAGTAAAATGTTCGTGTTCATATGTACTTGTTTGCTACTACTACATTTTTGAGGTTTTGTAAAACATTTTTTTTTCACAATGTGAAACTGAAGGTCAATAAATTATTAGAGATTTTCTCTTCATTGTGTGTGTGTGTGTGTCTTGTCATTATTTGAATATAACATGATATTAGGCATTGAAAACTGGAGCCTTTTTTTATTTACTCACGGATGGACATTTCAAATATTTTTTGAATGTGATTTATCTCACTGTTTTGTCACGTGTTTATTAAAGTAGCTCCATGCATGAAATAAAACCTTTGGCTGTTAGAATCTCTTCAAGCAAAGGAAAAGCCCTCATTTATGTGTTTATCATTATCATAGCTTGGTATATAAAAAGTCACAGGCTATGTAAGATTGAGATCGCATACTTTATATTAGATGGGATTTGGTTTTTGTATTCTTTGTGTGGGTTATACTTTGATAGAAAGCTGATAGAGGGGGCTGGAGTTCTCTTTACTGACATCCCCTTTAGAAACCACTTAAAGTAAGTAAAAGTGTATGCATATTTTTTTCTTTGTAATGGTGCAGGAGAGCCCAAGTGCAACCCCTTAGGCACATTTAGCAGCTTTCAAGTTGACAGATGAAGCCTCCTGCCCCGCCCTCATGGTGGCTTCATGTCACACTGAGATGCTCCTTTATCACTTGGGTTGGACGCCTTATTTTAGTGTGCAGAGCAATGTTCAGTGTAATCTTTTCTAGCCAGAAAATAAATACTACCTAATTGGAACTCTAGGAGACCTCACAAGTGGCACAATACAATTACAGTCTTTGGACTTTGACCAAGATGCCAGAGCAGATGCCTCGGGCTTGACAGAAGGATCATTGGGTTCCTTGCTGGGTGAGGCTGGTGTACAGCCAAGCCTCTGGGAACAAGTGTCTGAGCCTTCAGATTCCAGGAGCTCAATGCTCATGACCCATGGAAACCCTGTGGATGACACCATATGTATGACACCAAATGACAAGGAAGAAAGGCGAGTTGGCAGGAATCAACGGGTGGGACTTGGGCTCTCAAGGTCTTGATGTTAATCCTCAGGAGGGTGGAGAATGGTTGCTGTGGAGATGACTGGACAGAACTTTCATTCTCTGGGCTTCCTTTTCTTTATCATCTTAGATGAAACATTAAATAAGATCTTTCAAATTCTTAATTTTTCACTCTATTCATACATTTAGAGTGGCTCACATGAGTTTGGATGACCTTAAGTTGCATGTTATAGGAATCTGGCCACAGTGGTGAAACCATTTGGAAGTTAGCAACTCATTGCTGGGGCAGCATCCACCATAAGGCTATTAGGGACCTGGGCTCTTCTGTTTGCTTTTCATTCTGGGCTTGAATATTTAGTTCTCGTTCTCAGGATGCTGTGAGCTGTATGTTACAGTATCACCTCTGCCTTCCAGGTGACCAGAATGGGGACAATGAGGAAAGGCATACACCAAAGGAGCTCTTCCTTTTTCTTGGGATAATAATAATTTACCCAATAGGTTCACCTGGAAGGCTTACACTTATCTCTTCTTGGCCAGAGGTAGGTCACATAAACTTCCCAAGATGGAAGGGAGGCTGGGGAAAGGAGCACATTGCCATTGCACATGATTATGTGATTCTATTTAGAAAAAAGGAAGAACAGACAATGGATAGATAGAGTGTCGAAGATGGAATTGCTTACTTAAGTGGATAATCAGTTACTGTAAACAGTAGCCCTGTTTATTGAGTAATTATGTTCAACTGGGGATATTGTTAAGGATGTACTTAACAATCATTTCATTAAAGCCTCACAACAAATTTAGGTAAGTACAGAGATGTTTCTTAACATATCTGCCAATATCTTGATTTTAGCAGTATTTTATAATATAATAAATTTAAAAGAGAAAGCATCAAGCTCCTGCCTAGCACATAGTAGGTCCTCAGTAGTTTTCAGTTCTCATTTAAAACACAAGTTGGGAAAAGTACATAAAGACAAATCTGAGTGCTTATTCTGTACCAGGAGCTGTATAAAGGGTTTGCACGTCCACCTTCCTTGATTCATTCTCCCAGCGAGCAACCCTACAAGAGCAGGCGTTGTTATTACCCCCATGCTGTAGATGAAGAAACAGGTTTGGAGAGATTATACAACTTGCCCAAGGAGTGGTGGAGCTGGATTTCAAGGCATGCTCTCTGGGCTGTCCTCCAGGCCCAGGAATGTAGAGGGAGGTGATTCAGCCTGCTGAGCCTGACTGTGGGAAACTGGGGCTGCCTGGGTCCATCTTGTTTGGAAGACTCCATTCTGAATCTCAGTGGCACGGTCCTAGGAGGCCTGCAGCTGGTGGGCTTACCCTGACGTGACTGAAGGCGCACAGGGAAGGAAATCTCTGCTGAGACTAGAAATGTTCCTTGACAGCCGGTTTCCAAAAATGAGTTGTAGAACATTTAAATGGGGCCCCTGGATGTTTGTCACACTTGATGATTTACTGAGTTTTACGCTGATATGTTTTTGTATTTTTTCTCTTTGTAAAATGTCCATTGATGATCATCGAGTCTACAAATGTATCATGGACAAACTATACATTAAAAAAAAAAAAAGTCTGACCCACAATTGACAGGAAGCAGCCCAGGAAACCAACCTATTATCTATAGTTATCAGCCTAAAAAACCAGCATGCTATCTGTGAATCAGACTTGTAGGAAGTCAGACTACTGTCTCTAGTAACTGTTCCAGAAAGCCAAACAATAGCCTCTTTACAAATTAGCTTCAAACCACCAGGACTTGATTAATAACTGATAGCTTTCCTAGGTTTTGGTCCTTGCTTCCAACCTAGGCACAACCAGAAAAAGCCAAATACATACTCCTAAGCAGTCACCATCGGATGCCCTGCTTCTACTTGGCCCGCCTGCAGCTTCCCCATGCCAACAGCCGCCAGTCAACCTGAAGCCTTCCCTCCCCACCATAAAGCTACCCCTTGTCCTTTGAGTCTCTGCCAACACTCGAATGACAGTGGTAGACTCCCTTGCTATATAGCAAGCTCTGAATAAATAGCCTGCGCTTGTTCTCAGTTGGTTGGTCTTTATTTCCACAGACAAATGTTTATTCAATAAAATAATTAAATATTTCAATAGAAAAGCCCACAAAGATGAAGTGAGGGCCAAATTGTGGGTTCCAGGCAGGATGCGGCGGGTGCGGGAGGTTCAAAAGATGGTTGTTATCATCCTGAACATCTAAGTAAATGAAATGTACAAAATACATACAACATGAGAAAAAATGGATTTTGAGTTAATGGGGTTGAGATGAGGGCATCTGCTTTGGCAAAAGGAGAGCTGTTGCTTTGTTTGGGAATATTTTGAGTAAAGTGCAAACACTTAGATACGTTTTACAGCCATATTCATGGTGCACATGAATGTATGAATAAATGCAAAAACTTAGCAGCTAATTCCTGGTCTTGCCTGTCGCAAATCTTAAGTGCTTCGCCTGTCTGACACATACTCAGACTAAGCCATCTGTCCTGCATTTGAATCTAATCACAGACAATGAATTTTAAAGCTCTGTTATTTATCAGACAATGGGCAACTAGGTGCAAGACCTAACTTTGAGAGGGACAAATGTACATTGAGGCATGACTATGAATAAAAAGCAATTTGATTAAGTAAATTATAAATCTACAATAATCTTGTCCAGCTCTGTTTACCGCCCAGCTTGCTTTGTGAGTCTGGGGGAAACCAAATGAGACAAAGTTTCTCTCTTTCTCTCTGGTCCTGTTTCCTTGGCAACCATAATCTTTATCTTTGCAAAGATGAGGGAGTGCAGGGAGGAGAGGCAGTTGGAATTTCAGCAAGTCTCTGGCTAATCCTTTTCTTGTGTTATCAGATGATTTGTTTTATTATAAAAAAGTTATTTTACACCCACTTTTTAGATAGTGTTGGGAGGTTTATTGGATATCCTGGAGAGGCTGGGAGTTTTTGTTTGTTTGTTTGTTTTACAGGAGATAGGCGAATATTGTAATCGAAAAGAAGATGAAATCAGCCTCTTCTTACATACAAAGCAGGCACCTGCAAAGTGGGAACTGAAATGTCTCTTTCTCTCTCTGAGGTTCTAATACATACGCCAGCTCTAAATTACAAATGCCCCTGCCCACTCAACCACCCACATACACTCTGGCAGAGGATTTGCTGCCAGGAGAACCATTTTGAGAAAAGGAGTCTTGGAATTTTGAAATAACCAATACCCTCTGAAGGGTGGGGAGGGAGAAAGAGGAAAAGCAGAAGTTCCCTCGGGTGTGTGTGGGGGGGTGAGTCTGGCCAGTGGTGGCCCTCTTCACATCCTTTTCTGGTGCTTCCTGAGAGTCCACTTATTCCAGAGATGGGGAGGAGTGGGGGGTGGGGGGGTCAACACTTGCTCAAAATGAGAACACCTGAGCTACATTTTGAGGTCTGTTAATCATTTACACATTCATCACAATCTGGCTAGTCTGAAGGGGGGGGTGGGGACTTGGGAGTGGGGCTCCCTCAGACACTATGGCAGACCTAGGAGAACAATAGGAATGAAGTAGGCGAGGAAGGAGAAGGAGAAAGGCACATTTTCACTTAAGAATATGATGGCTAGGGAGAATGAGAAGAATAGGCAGAGCACAGAGGATTTTTAGAGCAGTGTGAAACCATCCTGAATGATACTAGAGTGACGGATACATGTCCATATATTTGTAAAAATCCATAAAAGGTATACTATCAAGAGTAAAAGCTAAAATAAACTATGGACTTTGGGTGAAAATGATGTGTCAGTGTAGACTGTAACACATGTGTCACTGTGAAGCCAGATGTCAACAGAAGGAGAAGTCATAGCCCGGGTATGGGGGTATTGAGAACTCTGTACTTTGGCTCAATTTTGCTGTGAACCAAACTATTTTTTAAAAAAATTTAAATACCAACCCCCAAAAGACCAAACACAAACAACAACAACAAAAATCCCACAAAAACATTGAAAACAAAGTAGTCTTTTAGGGATGTCAGATAAATTTTCTAACCTACTAAGGCATACTGTGTGTGTATTTTAAAACGTTACCTTGCGTGGACTCCATATACTGAAAAGATAGAAAACTCTTCCTCCCTGCGATTTTGTAAAACACCTAGTTGGTCATCCTCCTAAATCCTTGGAATCTCTAGAGTGATCTCGGGGATTCTAATGAGCTGACTGGTGGCATTCCCTAGGTAGCTTCAGGATGAAAACTGGTCACCAGAAAGACTAAGGCAGGATTAGAGGGTTGGGACGTTTAGTTCCATTCCTCAACCTCCA